TCAACAGAGAAATAAAAGTAATAGAATTCAGGGTGCCCTTTTACCCTTTAATTTTCCCCGTGACATGGTATCTCATGAATCTTCTCTCTAAGGGACACTGCTGATGTCAGACAAGAACATTCAGTCACTTTTTTTTAAGGGAGGCAACAAATAAAAAAGGGTCACACATTTCATTTTTAAATTTGGAAAGTACTGCAGAGCTGATCCAAACCAAGCAATAAAGGGGTACAAGCAGCCATCAATCCAAGTACAGGCTTCATAGGAAAAAAGTACCTAAGGGAAAGGAGTGCCTTGGCATTCTAATTTTACTTGGTGGTCTTTTTCTCTCTTTTCATACACACGATGAGATTATTACTCTTGTAATTGAATTCTATTAGAATTGGTAAATAGAAGAGAAAAGCAATTAAACAGAGGCCTAACTCAGATATTATTTAAAAATACTTGCGAAATTTTTAAGCATGTGAGCAGTTCCATCAAAATTTACTCAGGTACCTCTCTGAATAATGTGAATAACTGGGATAGAGAAGCCACACACTGAAGCTGCAGGGAGAGATGGGCTGAACTTCCATCACTGTGTGATGGGAGCAAACTTGTCAACGTTATAATGTCCTACACAGACCTCAGACAAAGTCAGGCAGCACTGTCCTAGAGACAGTACAAATACAGAGTGAGCGACAGTACCTGTGTTAGAAGGTTTGCACTCTGTATACTCATGAAAGAAAGGAGGCAGAGATTGCACAGCTGGTAGTAACAATAACACACCGAGCATAGAAACTGGCTTTGTGAGCACCAGATTAATGCCATGTTAACTGTCCTGTTTTCCTCTTGTTAAGCTGCTACACTCTAGATGCTGTGAGCTTGTTTTCACATAGCAATACCACTGCATTGGTGCCCTCTCTTTGTGCCCAGGGTCCACTACAGGTGCAGATTATTTACCTGGTAGTGAATGAGTGCCAGAGGCACCTAACTCTACAGGTGCTAAAAATTAACTCAGATGAAGACTTCTAAAGTTAGGTGAGGTCAAGCCCACCTATTAGTTCTTGACTTGTAAGACCAGGAGATGAAACAGCAGAAAAAAAAAAAAAAAAAAAAGGTCAGTTTTCCTTTCGGTCCTTTCACTCATTTAAGTACAATTTGAAGAACACAGTTTTCTCTTTCCAGGAAATTTGTTCCTGTCTTCCTCAATAGCCATGTCTCTGGCCTTTCAGGTATATTTCTGTCAAAGACTACAAGGAAAACAAGGTTCCACATTCTGTGCATCAAATTTGCATCTTTTTCATTCTCTCATTTTTCCTTTTCCAGAGTGTTCACTTTAGTGTGTCTTTAAGAGCTTCACAGAGTCACCATGGGTATGATGCTCTCTCTTTTCCATCTGCTGAACCAGCTGCCTTGTTATTCCTTCCTCCTCATTCTGTTGTTTCTTCTTTGTCACCATTGCTGAGTGACTATTCTTGTTTTGCCTCCTTGCTGTATTAATTCAATTTTCACTTACTTTCCAGAACAAATGAATTTAGGTGACTTTGCAGAAGGAAATAGCGACATATTCCAGTGAATTAGAGAGGAACATATAACTTCCTGAAGACCATCCAGCAGATCAATAGAAAAATTAAAGCCCATACTTGAAGCATTGTGGTAAATTGGCCTGAGATTTGGACTATCTGTTTTCAACAGAGATAAAGAACCATAAGAAAGGGCAGAGGAATGATTACAACTTTCAACCACTAACCTGTTGTCTTGCTGGTGGTATTATCCTGTAAAAAGATCCTGGTTCAAGGTCTGTTTTAAAATTTACAAATTGCTGTTCTCTAATTTAGGAGTCTCAAGCTTATAATTACTTATAAATTTACAGCTGTTGCATCCATCATCAACTTGCTAATAGGCAGTTGTGCAACTCTCAGGAGCCTGCCATAAGAAATAAGAGCAGTAGGTAGCTGCTACAGCTGAAATCCCATTCTACCTCAGCAGCTTCTTAACAACATTCTCAGATGTGTAAATGATCCATTAGTAACGCAAGGGAATTGCTTCAAGCATAAAAATCTACCATCGCGGAATGAGATGAACCTTTCACATTGTGATGAGAAACTGCTGGAACAGAGAATTCCTGTACACCAAATCAGTAGTGCACAGGTCAGGAGAAGCAAATTTGCAAGCAAATATCAAAGATAATGATGAAAAGCCACTGAATGCTAAACGTCTGTTCTCCTGTATGAGAAGTTTTATGGGACCTGTCTTATCTCTATCTCTTCTAAATCTTAGAGTGCTTATAACATCTCAGTTGTTGCTTTTTCTGCAGAATAACCATTCAATCCAGCACATGAGCCACGGTAGCTTCCCTCTGACTTTCTTTTTCTGGCCTGGCTCAAAGCCTATTTGATCTTCCTGTTGTCCTTAATGCATTTAGTCATTTCCCTTCTTCTTGGCAGCCAGTTTCTCCCTGGCCCCCATGATTGTTCTTCACTGCTCATTTCTCTAACTGCTCTGTCAGCAGCCCCACTGGCAGCTCTGTTTCCTCATTATCAGTCATTACATCAGGACTCCCCCTTTTCCATGTTTACTTCCTTATTTATTTTTATGGATTTTTGTCTGCCATGGCTAGACTAACTATTTAGAATTTACACTTCTATGCTCCAGAGCTTTTAGAGTCATGATCTCACTCATACTGTTCTCATTTAGAATATCTCATCTAGAATAACTTGTCTGTTAAGTCCAATATAATCAAGGCAAGTTGTCTACACCACTTCCTTTAATAATCACAGCTAACCATGCTCTCTTTTTGCTTGACTCCCATATAACTGTAGCTTAAAATAGCTTAAGACCTTTTTCTATATCCACCATCATACATGCTGGAGCAAAATCAGTGCTTGCTTTCTCCACAGCACTCACTCTAACCCATTCTCATCATCTATATGCATTTTAATGCACATCTTTTAGGTTTAATAAGCCCCAAAAATTTCTGCAGTAACCATTTCCTCTGCTGATGCAGCCATCGTATCATTCCAGCATCTCTTCCTACTTTCCAGTCCATACATCACATAACCATTGCCAGCTCTCTTTCAAAGTGTATATTCCTTGTTGATTTCCTACAGTCTTTATATTTTTTCACCCCTATTCACCATCCCCATGCTTGTTCTTTGAGTTCATAGACATATTGTTGGCAAACCAGATTAACTACCTGGTTTCACTAAATCACTTTTAAAATTTTCACCTACAAAAAAACCCCAAACAAATCAAAACAAAACAAAAAAAAAAAAGAAGAAAGAAGGCAAGAAATTGTAAGAAAAAATGAGGAAAATCCAGGATCATTTTAGTAAGTTCTTCTGCTGGGTAATTTTATGATCTCATTGTCATGCTTTCCTCTCCCCTCGTGAGTTTCTGGCTTGTGACACATTGAGTGTAAATGACATATTTTAATCATTTTTTTTGTGAGAAACATAGCAAATTCCTAGCTACACAACAGATAACAATAATAAAGGCAATTTTTGTGTTTTTAACTTTAAAAGACAAAATTCTTTCTAGAGACTCAAGTAAAAGTTCAGAAGAAATTGGTAGAATCATTGGCTGAGTTTGTACCTCTGCTATGTAGTGGGGATCCCTTCACAGATCCATCTTAAAGAGTTACAAATTCTTAAGAACAATTACTATAGGGAGAATTAAAAAAAGAAGATAAAAAAAACCAACTCTCTTTTGAAAAGTCACATAGTCAGATCATATCACTTGATCTTGTCTGGTTGTTATTCTGGACGGCTGCAATACCCAAGACCACACTTTCACTTCCTAAACATTATTCCAGGGACAGAATGCCGTTGATGACTCAACATCACCTTCAGAAACTACAACTATTGTTCTCTGAAGGGTTTAGTTCCTGTTCTTTTTCTTTTGGTTAGATAATTGTAATGTATTTTTATTCTCTATCTCTAACTGATCCAACAGCAATGTTAGCAAATATTGTTTTTCAAGCATGAAAGTAAACATCTTTCATAAAGTAAAAATTTTCTGCTAGCTAGACTGTTTGAAGTGCCATTGCTTTACATTCGTCATCTTATATTGTCACTTTTCTCTTTTATTTATAGAGTGCATATTTATGCATTTATATTAGTGCATTTTATTTATGGAGATGCTGCTTTACCACCAAGTAAGAACACAAGGTTTTAAGAAATCTAGGTGTGATTGATTTACCTAAATGTTGATGACTAAATCCTAAGCTAGGTCTCTGTTACCGTCAGTGGAAAGAAGCAGTCATGTCAGAGTCACTATTCATTTCATCATAAGTCAGATATCTAAAACAGAACAGAAATGTGCCCTTTTCCTTTTATTTACAAAAGAAACATGGAGTGATTATTTCTGATGTAGAAAGATATACTATACACATGTAACATTTACTGATACAAATCTTATCTTTATAATTTAACTCTTTATTGGCATTTTGGACTTAACTTTTCACTAGTAACTACTATGCAGATACAGATAACTGTTGCTTCCTCCAAGACCTTATTTGCTGAATAAAGACTTTTCAAGAAAACCAAATGACAGATCAAGGGAAAGAAGGCCAGCCATGGTTTAGGTTCTCTTTGCCCCAAAATCACTTGGTAGTTATGACAGAAAATGAAACCAAACTGTGCAGGAGTGTCCAAAAGCCACTAACAAGCAGCCATAGGACAACTCTTTACTGAATCAGAAGACAGAGGTAAAGCTAGATGTTCTTATTTTCTTTTTCTTTAACAAAAAATGCCTTTCTGCTTCACAGCCTAGTATCACTACTGACTCAGATCTCAGAAATACATGTTATCCAGGAAGGACTTTTCTTTCTTCTCTCTCATCTGTAAGTAATTGCCAAAGATTAATTCCCAATAGCCATGTAAGTATGAATTATAAGTGATTCTGTCATCTGGTGATGAGTTACATGCTATACGTTCACCCAAACCCCATGTTAGCTCTGGAATGGAAGAAAAAGAAAATTGCTTATAGAAGGCGACAGAACACATCCTTGTGGTAGGTCTTACTGGAATGATGTCCAAGCTGCTTAGAAGGCCAGTATTTGACGGAGGATAAGGCAGACTTTCTTCATCTATGACAATGGAAAGTTCACCTATTGTAGACTCCAAAAGCTGGCAACTACCAAAAAAAATTTCTAAAAGTGATTTGCCACTGCACATGCTTAAATCCCTTATCTTTAAATCCGTAAAATATCTGTATGTTCTGATTTTCTTTCCATCTCTACATTCACCTTGACATCACATATATTGGTGATTTAATGTAGATTTAGTTTGAGCTGAAAATGCAGTAAATCATGGTACTGCTCTGAAACTTGTTCAATAAAGCATGTCTGTTCCACAGACATAGGGGATTTTTAAAAGAATTTGAAAGGAACTTCTTCTTTGCCATGTTTTATTTCATTCAGCTTACCAGAGTAGTGGGGTTAATGGTGTCTTCCTGAAATGGGGAACAGATGGAGATACACTGCCTATTCCATGCCACCTGAAAAAGAAAAATAAAATTAGAAGGTTCAATTGTAAAAGCAAGCAGCCTAATTTGCTTCCTCTGGTTACAGGAAGGTACTGAGAATTATCCATCTACAGGAAGAAGAGGTGAATAGGGAATATGAATCTTGAATGCATAATAGTGTATTATGGCACACCCAATCTGATGTTTGTACTAAAAAAATTTAAAATGTCGGAACTTTGCTGATAAACCATTTCCTTCTAAAGAGATCTTTTGTTCAGAATTTCTCAATGTGTTTTCTATTTTATTTCCTGTAAACCTAAAGGATTTGGAACTCTATCTATTATTTGTTCATGTTTCATTCCATTGTCTCATTTTCATCAGTATTTACTCATACAGATCTTGCCTCCCAACATAGTTAAACTAATTGCAAGTATGAATGGAAAAAAAATAATCTCTTTATTTCAGTGAAGATGAATTAGCAGTTGGGGAGGGAGAAAGAGACCTTTAGCCTCTAGTCTACCTGTACCAAGAACAACCAGCTTCGCAAATGATTCCTTCACTTAATGAAATAAGCGTAAGAAAGCTATTCAATTTCATCAATGCAATGGAAAACAAAAGAGGATTTTGAGTGAAAGCCAGTGAGAAATATAATGTAACACAAAATTGAAGGTTTTGCATTAATATTAAAGAATTCTGCCTGTGATGTTAAGGACCTTGCATAGATACTTCTGAATGCTCTTCTTTTTAAAATCTGCCTATCAACTTTTCATATTACTGAAGCCATAATTTTAAAAGCTTGCACTTCTGAAAAGTAATACAAATAAGTTCCTAAATATGAATCTAAGACTCTAGTTCTAGCCATCTGGTTTTGAAAATGTTGGTTCAAAAGTTTCACACTTGTTGATTGGTGTCTAACTCAGAAGGAGATTTATTTGTCAACACAACACACATTCTCTGAACTTCCTGTACAGATTTCAAACAGCAAAACATGTTTTCAAAATTATCTTTGTAATTGGGCATGTAATTTCCATTAAAATGAATAGGAGTGGCGTGTCCAAACCATGGGGCATAGAGCTGCAAGGCACTTACTTCCTTGATCATCAAGCCCAGAGCTTTTTTATTACAGACAACAATATCATACAGTTCTTTCCATCAACATATTAAAAATAGTCACGTTTCATGCTACCACAATCTTATTAAAATTATTGTAAAATCTCACTGTGCTAGAGGTTGAAAACTTTCTTTCGATGTCTGGCCTAACCATTTCATATTTACCTATTCTGTGTTATGTCCACCTCTCTTCATAGTACATTTCTGCTCTCCTTTAATAAGAACATCTACTTAGACATATTTAGACAAATTTAAAAAAAAAAAAAAAAAAAAGGATCCAAAGCGCTGGTTTTAGGGGGATGAATCATTGATTGGAAACACTGTGACTGTAGCATCTGAGAGCTTCAGGCATTTTCCCGGAAAAAAAGAGTGTGAGTGAAGCCTTTCAAAAAAAAAAAAAAATTCCATTGTTTTGATCAAAACCTAATTTTCTCTCCTCTCTAACAGCACAGTTTCTTCAGGTAATAAAAAGCAAAGCCCTTCTTCAGCTATCACCTATACTGCTAGTGATCCTGCACATTAGGCAGCTGCTGTGTCATTGTATGGGGTCATTATGACTCTAGTTTTGTATTCCTAAGGAGGCCAAGAAAACTTGATTCTTGAAAATACTCATTTCACTTGAGTAATATTCACTCAGGTCACACTTATGACCATCCACAGTGAAATACTTCATACTCAGTGTGAGTATGCAAGAGGTAGAAGGAGAGCTGAAGAAATTCAGAATTATACGGCACATTCTGTATGCCTTTTGGAAAACACCTGAAGTTATGGATTTATAACACCTAGCATTATGATTGCAGTAAGATGATTTATTTAGTAATTCTGATTACATTAAGAAATGAGACTTTCGCAACCAGATAATCTATTAAATTGTCTGTCTGGTAAGTACTGAACACCATCCAATTCCAACTACATTGCCTAATTTCAATCTTGCAAAAGGGTAGAAGATTCAAAAATATTTATATTTCTGGAAGTTTTGTGAAAATTTGGAGCACATTAGAAAAGAGAAGGAGAGACTCCCCATGAAGGAAAGGCAGACCGGAGTTAGCTGTTACCCAACCCCTTTGGAAGCAGCTGTATGCCCAGTCATGCAGATTATCATCCAGCTGGGCTGATAAAACATGCAGGTCTGTAGGTCAGGACTAACTCTTCTGTGTATGTAAGTCTGGAATAGTCTATGCTAGGTGTGGACTAACCCTGCTACATATGCCTCTTGGCTGATCGGGGGGTTCATGTTCCATATGAATGGCATCAGTCATCCCTATCTTGGGGAAGGATGTAAATCCACAAGGGATTAGCCTTCTACTGCTTATGGAGCAACAAAAGGATCCTGCTATGAGGTCTGAAATACATTAATCACTCTTACTAATAAGCAAGACTAGGTGACTAGATGGACTAGATGATCTAATGGTGTTTCCCAGCCTTAAGTAATAGGATTACGATAAAGCAACTGTACCGGTCTGGGTTAGCCACTGGTGATATCATTAACTAGAGAGGACAAAACAAATATCTCAAGGTTTCAGGACATTCTTAACTTCAAATTACTCATCATCATAGACAAATTCTTAAGGTTATAAATGGCAGCTGAGGAACCCAAATTACCTCCAGAATAGGCATTTCAAAATTAAGCTTGAGTTTTCCACTTTGAAGTGTTTTCAAAGTCATTATTATCTATTCAGGTGAAAAATCCTTTATATTGAACTTTATACTGAACTTTACATTGAATTATCATTGATGGCCCCAGAAGGCTTGCTTCCTTATGGCCTTCTTAGAGGCTAACACCCTGTAAATAGCTAAGAAAAAGTAACCCTATTCCCTAATGATTCCTTTTCAGATAAGAAATCCTGGAGGCACATTTTGCAAATATGGAATCAACAGAGAGCAAATCTGCACTTTAATGATAGTGGCAGTAGCTGCTGAAAGATAATCTCTCAAGATATGTTTCATACTATGAGGAAGACTGAAAACTGCAGATATAAATCATTGCCAGAGATCATTTAGGAAAATATTACCCGCTTAGAGAAAGCAAATACCTACTGCTGCCCGTTTACTTTTTCAAAAATATAGGAACATTTGAAAGCATACCTCTACCTATTTACTCCCCAACTTTCAAGTGATCCGAGATTTTCAAGTTTTACCAGTAAGGAGCAATTTCCCAGCAGTGCCTATCATACCTGTATCTGGGCCCAGAAAAGACCCTCATGATAGAAGGATACCTAAGCTTAGCTACTTTGAATTTGGCTCACATTATAACTATTGAGCATTTTTTAAAAATTACCCTTTCACACCATTGTGTAACATGAAGAACAGAAAGCAAATTACACTATATTGGGCTGAGTTATCATTCAGATAAAAACAGTAAGGAAATTCACCGGAAACATTTTTGTGTGTGGTTACATCATTGACGTCAATTCAGAAGTTCTGTGTATCTCAAGAACAGATGTCAGTTTTCAAATGTTTTGTATTATAAATAAATTGGCTTTTGACCTGAGTAATGAGATGGCTGTACTTTGGCTGTAAATACAATTACTTATGGATAAACAACTGCAAATTTCTAACTCTGAGACATGTTGACTTACGGAAATGCATGACAAAAAAAAAAAAAAGGAAAAGAAAAAAGAAGAAAGACAAAAAATGTTCTGAGGGTACAAAGTGTATTATTGAGAATTAGATTAAATAGGTTTGAATAATCCATTTTAATCAACATAGTGAGAAGTATGAATGAAGATCTGCTGAGATACAATGAATTGTATCTTAGTGATTTCTTATTTTGTTTTACGTTTTTTAGTTCTTTGGAGTCTAATAAGTTGACTAAGAAATAATTAATTGAAAAAAAAAACCCAACTCCAAAACTTGAAACCTGAAATAAAGTGATCCAGTCTAGAAATATTGTTCTCTGACAGAACTCCCTTTTCGTCTTTAGAGCTGAGGCAATGCTGTCTTGCTGTCTCTTATTTGAGTGAGTTCTTTCTCACAGGTTTTAAAGGAGTATTTAGTTGGCAGAGAAAGCTGCAGTTGCCACAACAGAAGGATCTGTGATCAGTTCAGTTAAGGACTCAAGTCCACAAAGCCTCACTGAAATATATCAGTCTGATCTTTAAGACTTGCAAGGCAAAATTTGAATTAAAGTGAGAGACAAAGTCCAAAACTGGTATAAAAAAGCCACCACTTATTCAGTGCCCAAATCTGAATGGGATCAAAATTGGCCTAATTCCATGCCTGCCATCTCAAAACAAAGTTTTTCAAAATGGACTTGTTTATTCCTGTCTTCTATTTCTGACTTGAAACCTTACAGGGTAGATTATCTGTTCTTAGTTTTGATGATGCTGATGAGAAAACTGTCTCCTTAGTTAATTTTCCATACATTCATTATACCAGTTCTGAAGATTTGTATGGATGGAAACAAAACACAGTGAGTGAATTTGCACCCTCCTGCTGAGGACTGGCTTTTGCAAAACGTTTATCCTGGAAGGTGATGAATCTTTTGGCTTTGGGTGCTTTGATGTCCTCCTTTATTCTTTCTTCAATGACTTCACAAGGGACTATCAGAGAAATTAACTAAATGTTGAGAAAAGATGACAGTCTTAAAACAACTACCTATCTAGAGGTAATGCTCTAAATATAATTAGTAGAGCTACTACAAATATTTTGCTAAAAGTGCTTTTCTTTGAAAGTAGCTGTTTCAAGAAGATATGTCCATGGACCTATTCTTTAGTATTCTTGTTTTGTTTTGTTTTGTTTTCTGTTGAAAATCCAAAGCAAAAAGACTGAAAAACTGAAAACAGATAAATCACAACATGAAAAATACTCCTTAAGAACTGGAAAATCTTTGTACATCTGCCTAAATGTGAACTTGAGTTTTTCAGTTAAATATGAACTTTCTTTTTTTTTAGAAAAAATAATGTATTTTCAGCATTTTTTTTTCCCTTCAGAAATTTTTTTTAAGACCAGTTCCCAAGTATCTCTTCAATATGGATTTAAGCCAAGGCTGCAGTGGTGGCCATTCAGAAAAGTGAAAGCTGGCTCAGCAAACCTGTTGGCACAGGATTTGAGAGATTTCCTGTCTCTTTCTTGTCCTGGAGACAATTAGCTTCTCTCTGCTTCAGTTCCACTTCTGGAAGAAAAGTGGAGAAGTAGAGATTTGCAAACTCAAGTAGATATTGATAGGACTGATAGCTTGAGGATTGCAACAGACCTACATAATATTATGATTTGCTAAGAGCACCAATTAATTGTTACTGGCTATCATAGTCCAAACTAAATCCAAACCCACCATCCACTGCTGATTTACTGTGAAGGATCTGAAGCTCTTGAAGTGCTTCAGGACCAAGAATGATGCCAAAGTATCCTGAACACCTTGCACTACATCCTTGTTCTGTTCAGTGTCTGAACCACTCAGCGACAGACCAGCACTTGATGGAGGCACAGACTACATTTACATCATTCCATGCATAGGCAGAAAGCGGTTTAAAATACACTGCAAATTCAGGCTCTATACATAGGAGAAGCCACCTTAGTACAAAACTAATTGTGAAAGGTACTAAGGAACTGGAGTGTAGGGTTCTGTTGCCCGAACAAGTGTTACACAATATTATCTTGCCGAGGCTTGCGCATCTCTGCATCTGTCACACAGTGTGAACCTCCCTATGCCCCGTATATGTTTTATCCATGAGATCCTGCTCACATAGAACAGAAAGATTTATAAACTATGAGGCATTTGTCAGCAGCTCCATTAGTGGTTCTCTTTATAACTGAAACAATAGAAAATGATAAAGAGAAAGTTCAATGCTCTTTTGTTTTGTTTGGAAGTTTTTGGTTGTTTTTGGAAACTCTACTATTAAAAGTCCTAAGGAAAACTTAAGGGGAAAAAAGCATGAGAGCTATATGCTTGGAGTGCCATCTGGACCTTACTTCAGTAGAAATGTTATCTTATTTATATAGAGAATAAATTAATAGTGACAATGCATAATATATGTTAACCCTTGGAAAATCCCTTTGCAGAGTATAAGGAACTGACATTGATTAAAGCAGAAATCCCACATGTGTTTTTGTCCTGTTCTAAATTATTCAGGTCCTGGCAAGACAGTGCTTCATGCACATCTAAAAATAAATAAATCTTTGACAAACCAATCATTTTTTGAATGCTGTATTTTGAAGAAGGAAAAGAGAAATTGTATGTCCATCCACAAAAATTAGGAAAATTAATTTATTGTTGGTTGGGAGAAGATTTGTTCCATTCTGGAAAACAGAAGGATTTGCCTTGTTATCTTAATAAATTCCAAACCTTTGGAAATGTCAGAACCACAGAGGACTGCGCGCCTTTATTTTTTTTATTTTTTTTTTAATCTGTTTTAGCTTTCCTGACTGGACAACCTTTACAGAATTTAATAATTCATATTTTTAAGCACCCCTTCATTTCCACGGAGAAAGGATGAAGATTTTTAGGAGACAGACACTAGCTAGACCTAAAGCTATTTACCATAAAGCTGGACTAAGTGTTACATTTCTTTGATTACAAAACTGCACAACAAACTCTGACCTACACTTCCCCAGTAGCTGTTCTCTCATCTTCTTCTTTACAATGCATGCCTATACTTTTTCATATTATTTTAACTCTGCGTTTTTCTCAGCACTTCACTTCTTAAAGGTGTTCTAAAATATTAATGAACCAATAGTGTGGCATTACAAATTACTGTAATCTGTGCAACACTTCATAGATCCAAATAGGACTATGATTCCACTTAATAGAAGACAATCATCTGCCCTGGCCAACCTCCAGTCTAATAGAAAAGTCAGGCAGAGGGTAGCACTACAACTGCATGACGAATGAATGGTTTACGTGGGGGAAATGGACATGAAATGATGAGATGTTTTGCCAAAGATCCCACAGGATATCTGTGGCTGAACCAGGCACACTGTATGGGATTAGTCTGACCACACAGTGAAGCCTACAATGTGAAAGTGTATACCTGTCTCTTATAGTCAGTAGACAGGAGTAGGCATTGGCAAGGTGTATGTCATCTGATCCTAAAAGGAAACAGCTAAACATGAAGTAGAAAATGTCTAAAACCACCTCTTTGATCCGTCATCAACAGAAAGCCAAGTACTGAGCTCAACAGCAGACATCTAGAATATAAACACACAGTTAGGTGAGATGGGTCTCACTTTGTGATTTTGTATTACAAGACTGGTCAACTTTTCTTTGGCGCTTCTTTGAAAGAAATTTCTCATTTT